AAAAAAAAAAAAAAAAAAAAAAAAGTATACAGAAAAATAAATTTCATATTTAGATCGTATCCACAACGATTATTGAATGACGAACTTCGTATTATAGACGCGAGTTTATCGACGATAATTAAATGGTGCTCGAATTTTTTTAATATCGATCGGAATATTAAACCCTTCTAATCCTCTTTATTAAGCTTGCCAATATCAAATAAAGCGCAAGCGAAATGTAAATAATCAAGCAACAGAAATTTGCGAAAAAAAGGGAACAAGCAGAGAGAGAGAGAGAGAGAGAGAGAAAAAAAATCAACTGTAAGAATATTATTTCGCGAGTGATCCGATGTCATCGAATTCATCTTTCCCAACCCACTGGTGGTGATTCATCCTGAATGTATTAACGCAATTCGGTGTACGGTTCTCCTTCGAACGGTAGGGAATGTAGGAAACGAGTTTCTACGAATTTACGAGAACGTGGTCCGCGTCGATGCGGGGTAGCTGGTCGGGAAGGGTCGCGCTCTTAGATGGTACCCCTTGGCACCGCTGCCCTCGCTACGCGGTGGTACCTGCTGGTACCGGCTCTCTTGCTCGTCCCAAACCTCCCCCCACCTCCTCACCAATACAAATGTGCGCAATTTACTAGCTCTGTGCTTTCACCTGTTCGATCGTGGACTTGTCAAATATAGACAAGTATACATCATCGAGCCCCTGAACTCATTTTCAAATCCTCTCTGCCGCGATATTTACTTAACATACAACTGTATTTCTTTCGCACGAGTTTAAGACTTGTACATTCAGCGAAAATTTAGTTACGCGTAATTCCAATACAGCAAGATAGAAGATTTATGCAATGATTTCTAACTCCCATTCCATAATATCTATATTTATTTGACAAGTAATTGGTCAAACTACCTCTTTCCTATGTGTTTAGTAAATTTCAATAGAACATCAGGGATTTTACCCAGTTGATTTTTTTGTCATAGTTTCTCAGATTTGCATATTTTATATCGCGATCTCAGGATTATAATCGACCGCACAACCATAGAAATAAAAACCGACCATCGAACTCTTCGTTCATCGATTTTATAATTTCTCTTATCTGAGAATATCGAGAGTTTCGAAACTTCTCGAGAGAACTTGGAACCTTTCGAATGGTTTCGTGGGGTTTCGACGTTTCGATTAAGTCGTCACTAGTTTAGATACCGTCTCACGAAAGTACTACTCACGAAATCCATTGATAGATAGCTGACACCGTGAGCTCCCCCTTTTCGCGAAGAGCGTGTTCTATAAGCTCTGTGTACGTGAACGGTGGCTTCTTTGGTCCGTTGCATCGGGAAGACACAAAATTCCGATTGTCCAGGCTAGAGTAACTATGACTCGACTCCAGATGCGACGATCCGTTCTCGTTGTAGCTCCTCTTCACATCGTTTACGTACGTGTATCCGTAAGAACGTCCATTCACTCTTGTCTTGTTCCCTGAAAAGCGTGAAAACATTTTTTTTCCTTTTCACAATTCCTCTAAACCACACCAGCGAACAATTTCAAGATCAACCCTTTATACTGTGCTGCGAATTTCTCAGAGGTCACGTTGATTAACTTTGTTAAAATTAAGAACAATGCAGTACAATTTTTCTCTACTCCAATCGCACGAACGTAAAATCCAACTCTCACGACCTACGGGGAAACGTATATCTCGAACAAAGTTATCCAACCTCCACCTCTATAACATCCTGTGTCATCTGTGTCTCTACTTGTAAAACTATGGCTTAACAAATATCAGTGTTGTAGCATTAAGCATAAAAGATTGATACAAGCATATGTTGACAAGTTGCACACCACTGTGAACGTCTTTGTACGAAGGCACAGTGGATTTCTCGTCGGCAGCCTCGATAAACGGATCCAACTTGAAATCCAGCAACCAGGAAAGGTTCCCAGTCTCCTGATCGTCGAACTGTTGCTGTTGATGACTACTAGAAGGAGGCACGTCAGTCTTACTCTGTTGTATATTGGACGGCGGCACGGTGACAACTGGCTCCCAATAATCAGAGTTAATGGGATAGCTCGTCTCCTCTACTTGAACCTCGTGGATCACTTGCTCTTGCTTGTGCTCCGACGACGACGAGGAGGACGTCGATGGCGAGGCCGCCATGTCGACGATATTCTGCTGGTGTTCCAGCTCAGAAACGGTTGTCCAGGTGCAGTTAGTACCGTCCACGAGGAGAACTTCCAGTCGGGCGACTGGACACTCCTCCACGGCTTCCTGGGCAGACAACGGCGAGAACAGGGCCACGGTGTCGCCCATTCCTTGGTGCGAGCTGACTACTTCCATTGGAGCCTCGATTTCTTCTTGGTACTGGTATCGTTTACGCACATTCTGCACCTCCTCGCAAATGCTCTCGATGTCCAGATCCTCGAAGATTCGTTTCTTGCTGGCGCGAGACTGGTTGTCGGGTAACTCACGCTCGGGGACACTGCCAGTGCCAGAGGATGGCCCGATCATGCTATCAGGAGGGGTCAAATTTTAGCGTAACGTGTGTAAATGAACGTGAACGGAGTTTTCTGGCACTTCGTGTATGCAATATCATATTGTTAATAATCACTAGTATTATTATTACAATAACTAAAGGTATTATTGTATCGTACAGTAACGATTTTAATCAATTTTCCGTTTAGTAGATTAAAAAAGAAAAAACAAGGATTACATACTTAAATCAGAGTATGACTCGGTATTCTGCATGATCTTAAACACAAATTTCGTTTCATTGATTTTAGAGTGAATTTTAAAGTTTCTGAAACAGAGTGAAATGTCTAACTTAATTATTTCATTTCATTTTCTTGCAATGCCATTCGTGCAACCTAAAATAGCAGAGAAGGGCCTATTAAGAACAAGACAAATAAGAAGTAAAGAATATAAAAGATATATAATAAAGTCAAAAGTATTAATTTAAACAAGTACTTTAGTAAACAAGTAATCTAAACAAGTTAATATCAGGCTCTCTATAAAGTCAAAAATATTAATTTAAATAAGTACTTTAGCAAAGAAGTAATTTAAACAAGTCAATATTAGGCTCTCTATAAAGTCAGAAGTATTAATTTAAATAAGTACTTTAGTAAGCAAGTAATCTAAACAAGTTAATATCAGGCTCTTTATAAAGTCAAAAGTATTAATTTAAACAAGTACATTAATAAACAAGTAATTTAAACAAGTTAATATCAGACTTTATATAAAGTCAGAAGTATTAATTTAAACAAGTACATTAGTGAACAAGTAATTT